ACGGAAAAACTGCAGGTACTCTTGTGTTTACTGCCTTTACAGACCTAAAGCTCCCTAAAGAGGGTCACAAATCCACATGAGGCTCCTAAGCACGGCATACTGCATTTGGGTCATTGGTTAGCTGAAAAGTCACATAGAGGCAAACAGCTTCCTCTTGTCTACGTACTGGGGAAATACCATGTGATGTGTTTATTCCAGGCTCCATGTGGGATAAATAGCAAACACTGATACTGATCTGCTCAGCTGTTAGTTGTTGGGAAGACGTGCTGCGATGGGAGATCTGTGCTGGGATGACGGGAAACGGTGACAACCCTTGCTAGGAAAGAGTTCTCCCTTTATGGGGAATCCACCAAGTGACCCACCATCACTGTCCTGCAGTAGCCTACAAACTCCTTTGGACTCTTGCCTGCTGGTCAGTCTGGCCTGTCGCACCGTGACAAATGAAATTGTCCTGTCCTTGTTGTAGATAACCCACCTGCAGCCAACGGAACTCAGCAGGGCTCTTGCAATGAGCATGGAAATGGTTGCTTGCGGGTTGGCTGTTTTTCATAGCTCTGCCAGTCTTTCTTTTATACTTTTTCAGGGAATGAAGTACGATTGTTTCAGAGAATCTTTTGCAAAGCAGGGCATGATTGCCCTGTCTGTAGTTGGGATTTGATTTCCAGAAAGGGAGGAAGTACTCCAGAGCTTTGTTAGAAGTCAGTGTCTGTGCAACATTCATCTGAGAGAAGCCTGGGAGATTTCATACCAATTTCACAATTTTTGAGGAAGAGAAAGAGGGAGGGAGGGAATTTACACCCAGGAGCACGCCTAGGGGCCTGGAGGCTGTGCTAGACTTTATCTAGCACTAGTAAACACATGAAAATGTGATGTCTTGTGACTGAATCCAAGCACAGCAACCTTCTAAAAGTGTCCAAAGTCCGAAGCATTTCTGATGTGCTAAACTAGCCGTGACTTTAAAGGCGGCAGCTCACGTGCCACCATACCAGAAAGCAAACTTTTCAGGGAGGCAATGTGCTTCCTTTCTCCAATAGCAGCACAGTGTTTATGCGCTTTGCGGGTCCTGTGCTACACATACTCTTTCACCCTGCTGTCCCTACCCGCTGTGGTTTGCTTCAGCTGTGGAAACAGGAACTGCTGAGTCAGCACACTGATGAAACTCACACTGCTTTCACACATCTCCGGGGAGATGGCCACAGCAAGGAGGTTGCCAGCAACTTGTATGCTGGAGAAAAAAATGAGTACTTAAATTGTCTTACAATTGCCTGAAATAATAACCTAATTTCTTAAAACCTCTCAAACTGAAGGGGGCTTCAGGACCCAAGCACTAGTTGCAGGTGAACGATCGCACCTGGCATATGCAATCTCATGACCAAGCATTTAAAGTTCAGTGAATGTCATTTTTCTGCTCACTCTGTTGATCAGCTCAACTACATTTTACAAAGCCGAGATCCAACGGGCTGAATAGACAGAATAAGGCCATCAGGTTTAGCTCATCTGCCTGGTGACAATGGAAAGCAGCAGCCTGTTCTGATTACAGACTCACACAGAGGTGAAATTGCTCCCTTGGAGCTGGTACAAAGTAATGGACTTTAAAAATTCAAATAACCCCCTCAGAAAGGTTAGGTCTCCTGAATAACACAAGTGCCAAAGGGGAAAGAGATTTGGGGGTGACTGCTTCTCTGAGAGCAAAATATCCATGGCACAGAGGAAAGGAGCTGAAGGTCAGCTAAAGGGATGGGAAGGGGAATGTTAAATGCCAAATTGTTTAAAAAATGGAAAGAGATTCAGTCTGAAGAAGATGGAGATGTTCCAGAGAGCTATTCTATTAAGGACATAAATAGGGTGTTATCAACAAGCTCAGAGTGAACAAGAGCAGCTTTAATAGCAAGAAGATGGCAGTTAGAAGAGGGACAAGTTAACTGCTTGGGGTACTATCACTATGAAAGCAACACCTTCTCACCCAGAGGGCCCTGGTCTGCCTTCATTTAAATGAGGTCTGCTTACTTCAGCACCACAGTGTTTGCATTTCATTATTTTTTACACTTATTAGAGAAATTTAACAATGAGTAAGGCCTGTTTCTTCTTTTGCTTATCATGAGAATTGTTAGTCAAAGCTCAGAGCCAAAATTTGCCTGTTGAAGGCAACGAGGCAGCAGAGAGGCACGCGCGGGTCTCAACGAGTATTATCCAGGACCATCTCCCTGGGGCTGCTGGTGCTACCCATGCAGGAGAGAGGAGAGTTTAGTATTTAGATTGCAGTGAGAGACTACAGTACTGTAAATGAGAAATCATTAGACAATATGTACCTATGCGTTGACAACAAATTATCTTTGACAGTGACTGAGATAGCACATTTACAACCTCCAAAGCTACTATTTTAGCAGGCATACAGATGTGCTGACATGTTAAAAGGGCAGTAGCAGATGAGAAGAAATGGTCTCTTTCAGTAGATGGATAGTAGTAACAGGTGATGTTAGTGGTATGCAAGAAAAATATATCACAAAGGTGAGCTAGGAACAGAGAATAAAGACAGCTAGGACAGCCTGAGTATTCAAAGCAAAGCAAAAAAAGATGCAGATGAACTCTCTCCTGAAGTGTGCTTATTGATGGTTGGAGGACCATCTGTTTGGAGAGTTGGAGTACAATGCCCAGATTCTGCAACCTAAGAAGGGAAGCTGTTAGCATTTATTTTTGCCTGGTATCACATCTTTTGACATGCAAGTAGTTCATCAAGACCCAGAGCAATGGGAAGGCAGAAGATCTACTGTACCCATAAGACAGATCAAACTATCGCAAATAAAAATTTTCAAATAAATAATTTCAAAACTTTTTCTGAGAAAGTGGAAAGAAAACACTGCAACATGGTAGCTAGCTACGTACAAGGAGAGCTGGAGAAGCGAGCAGGCATGCACATACCTCCCAGCACATAGGTGGCATTTGGAGGCCACAACCCAGATCTGCCTCAAGGAAGTTGGGCAAGCTGAACAAAGGTACTGCGGATGCTCACCATGAATTTTGTTACCTGATGTTTATTTTTAATGCTAAGATTCAACCACATGCTGCTCACAGAGGATTAGTTCCGTCAATTTTAGTGCCAATCACCATCTCCCAAATCAAGTCCCAGGCACCATTATGCTGCAGCTTCGCTCTTGGAGAGCCGGGGAACTGCGTGACTCCCTCCGAAGACCGAGAGCTGAGAACTCACACTGAAGATAAACAGATCTGTAGCAAACACTCCATCTGTCAGCAGAGGTTTTGCCCAGCATACATCTTCAGCAATCGTTTACAGGGTTAACGATCATCCAGGGAGGCAAAGATTACCATCATCTAAACAGTAAGAGCTGAGCAGAGTGTTACAAGTGATTGATTACCCCAGACAAACTGTTTGCTTTGCTTAGGACTGCAGCTCACCAAAAACATTGTCCAGCAAACACTATGCAATAATGGAAGTATTGCACAAGTGCCTGATTTTCCCTATAGAGCGTTTCAAATGCCTGTCTGCAGACATGACACATTCCTGTAGAACATTATCGTAATACAAATAATTTTATTAAATTCACAGCAAATTATTTACAGCTGTTAGCAAAGTAGTCCTATTGGTTTGGACAACCAGCTGGGAAAGATGAGTAACTTGTGTCAGTTGCCCCACCTTTCCTTATTTATTTTTGAGGAAAATAGGGAGCACTGCTAGTATTTCCATGCTGTATTATTGAAACACACAGAGGCTTGTTGCTTATGTTGAGTATTCACTAAAACCCAAAGGTCTTTGGCCAAAAGCAGCACTACTTTCTTTTAGCCACTAGAGTGAGCTGCTGCTCAACATTTGAATAAAGTTTGGGTAATTATTTGTGTTGCTCAGAAGAGGAGGTGCCTTGTCATTTTGTTACACATAAGTAAAACTGAGACCCACACTTTGCCTAGGAATGATCTTTGTGATGCTGCATCTGACTTTAATGCTCGTGATCTATTTGAGCAGGGCAGGAGACAGTGAGAATTGTGTTTAAGATGTCATTCTGAGCACCCCCAAATTTGAAGCTGCCCCCCACATTAGTCATCACTCAAAATGGAGAGTGGAAACCAACTTTCCTGGAGCAGAGTAGGCTGAGTACAGACATCAACCTATGGATACCATCCTTTCCCCTCTGGCCTTAACTTTTCCCTTAGGATGCAATTGCAGAACATCTCTGTTGACAACAGAAAATCCTGAGCATTAATACATAATGAACATGGGGCTTCTTATAATGAATATCAACAGGTGAAAATAAGAGGGCAGCGACTGCAACATAGCCACTGGGATGGCTGATGATCAGGGAGCAGGGCTCAGTGATAAAACAAGGCAAAAAGTCCTCCTCTATATAGTCCTTTACCATGCGACTTGATGGCAAAAAATACCAGTGGGACCCAACTGGCTGAGGCTGGATCCTTCCCACAGTAAGAAACAGTCCCTCCTCTTTGCTGTATCAAGAGTTTCTACAGGTAGAGTCACGTATGACAGTCAGTCATTTCAGATTTGTTCATGAAAATCAAGTGCTTAAGCATGGAGTTTGAGATATTTCTGCTGGTTACATCTAGTGTTACAAGAGGAGTCATTTGTGACTCTGCCAATACAAAAACCACAGAGCAGATATTAAAACCAGCTTGAACGCTAAAGTTGGATAGAGATTTACAGCTCAGCTAAAGCTTATTAACACTGCTATTGATTTCACTGGAATTGTATCTGTGGGTTACGAAGTCAGACAGACTTATTAATACATTAACATTTTTAATAAATGGATCAAAAGCTGGCTGACAGCCATTCAGTCTACCAGTAACACAAGTGTTTCTTTCTGGCAATGAAATGCCACTGAGCAGCAGCTCAGAAGTGCTAAGTTTGGAGCCTTACGTTTTACTATCCCTGCTTTTTCCCGGCAGGGACTGATTCCTGTCTGTGAAGCTTTCAGAGACTGGCCAGGTTTTGATGGTTAAGATGCTTTCAGATGCTGACCAGGGTAGCAAATAGTTTCCAGCTGATGTTCATCCTTGCTGATTTAATTCAATGAGGCGACCAGCAAATACAGCTAATGTTCCTATAATACAAACTAGCATAAATATGCCAAGGAGAAGATGATCAACCACCATTGCAACGAACTTCCATTCTTCTGCAGCCTGGGAAAGAAACAAAGGAGATGGTAAAATCTCTGCAGAGCCATGTTTGTTATGGGTGTTCTTGTAACTTACCCCTTGAACAAGGGAAAGGCTCTGCCTTAAGTTCCACTATTATTATGCAAAAAAATATTCATTTTCTTCTCAAAAGCAGGTCAGTGGTTGAGAAAGCCTAAGCTACCTAGAAATGCAAGTTTCCAGACTAAAGTGTTAAGAATCCCAGGCAATTTGGTGAACAATTTCATTAAAAAGAAACGTTGAAAAGCTTAATTTTTAGTCAAACGGTTGCTTTTGAAAGAGAGTTTAAAAAGTTGAAAGCAAAACACTTAGTTTGATCTAACTGGCTTTTGTTTTTCTATTGCTTTTTCATTCTCTTGGGATACCTAAGCAATTGTCATTAATTTAGCTCTAGTCTCTGCTTTCCATGCCTAGCATACACTCTAAGGTCTGGGAAAACCTTCTCTGTAGATCCCTTAGTCTTTTTTCCAGTTGTGGGATACTGTGACCACTTACTCTGCGACCACCTTTTCACTGGGTGCTTTTGTGGGAACCCAGCACCGTAAGATTGAGCAGAGTGCGAGGTGCTAAGTGCAGCAGGGCACAGGATTTTCACCCTGTAACTCTGCTTTACGGAGCGATACGTACTGGCCTAAGACACTGTCTACTTCTGCCTTAGTTGCCCCACAAGTAGAAGAGGGTGTTGTAAATTATCTAGAGGACACTGATAATCAATACTGTTTTCAGGTGCTTCATAAGCGCCTAAGTGAATGCAACAAAGCAGCAGCCTTCAGAAGTCACAACCTTCAGTTTATTTGGGGAACTTGACTTCTGAAATCCCCTGGAAGTGATATCAGTGGTGCCCAGATGACACAAGCATCTGGGCACCACTTCCGAAGCAAGCACTTGCCAGTAACCCGAAGACCCTCCTTGTAAGCCTAGGAGGAAGCGAAGCCCAGAGGCACTGAAGCCACCCCAGCCCTGCTGAAGGTAACACTTTATCTGCAGAGAGGCACAGGAGTCATGTGGAACATGAGACTACAGCCAGAGCCTTTCCACATGCTCCAGGAATTCGGTCACAGGAACAAACACTGTGGTGCAAATCCTGCCCATGGGATGGAGGCGCCTCCTTTCCAAGAGCATAGCCAAATTACTGTCCCACAGAACTCTCTCCCCATCTTCAGGCTAGCCTGCAGCTCAACAGGAAAGGTCTAGGATCACTTAGAAAGGTGAAGTCCCAGGACTGAATTACCCATGCAAAAGCTGTGTGAGCTGTGATAACTGAAATAAAAGGAGGGGGTTAATTGTGTTGAATCTACTAGAAGGAGGCAGAGCTAGGTTTTCCTGGGGAACACTGCCATATGTGACTCTACACACATTTATCCTTCCTTTGGCTTGCAATGTGGAAAAAGTCAGTCATCAGAGTAGCTCGTGACATGCTTCACTTGCAGGGACTAGTTGTAGCATACAGGAATAAAACAAAACGTTATCGAAATAAGAATTATCATTTGTAAGTTACATATAACACTTCTCAGATAAAACTACTGGCCTTTTGGAGTTTTGCTTGCTTCCTGGCTTTTCAAAAGCAACAGGAGCTGGCTTATTGCAGGGGGAAGATGCCCGAGTGAGAGACAGGAGGAATGTATTTTGGAACTTGCTTACGGTTCTTGAAACTGCTTTGCTACTCACAGACACCTCATCTCTGTGGCTTCACATACCACGTTTAGAAAACCTTAGCACTGACACTCTTTTTTCAAATGTTCTTTTTTGGGCGGCCAAGATGCAATGGTCATCTGCAACAATTATTTGTTGCTCCTCGTTGACTGCATCAAGGGGAGAAGACTGTTGCCTGCTAAAGCCAGACCAGGGCTTGAAGTGGTTTTTTTTTTAAGGTGGGGATATTTTGCCAAAAAAATAAGATGTAGCAATTTGAAAGCAAGAAATGAATCATGAACAAAAAATGCCTTACGTTACTGGCTTCTTGGTCCGATTTCATCGTTTCCGCAATGTATTTGATTCCCTCTATAGCATTTTTCACATCTGGATTTTTGGTAAGTGGGGAGTAGAAGTTGACAGGCACAGAACCTGGCTTCCCAGAAATTTCAGAAATATCAATATCTTCTGCAAAAATATTTTTGTCTTGTTTATCCCTGGATGGTCGTTTCATTGTAGAGAAAAACATGATGTTTGGGATTGTGTCAATAAAGATCTGAAAACAAAGAGGAAGACAACGACAGTTGCTGGTTTGCGGGGCTGCGTTGCAGACGCAGCTGCGTACTGAACAAAGGCAAGCCTCTCTGGTCACAGATCCCTTCCCGTGCTGGATCGGCTACAGATTCCCTCTCAGAGTATGTCACAGCCCGTGCCTCAGTCACACTGGGGCTTTTGTCAGCCTTATGTCCTGGGGCAGATTAGGGCACCCGCAGGCCTGTCACACGTTCTCTGGAAACCATTTTCCCCTGCCATATAGCCAACATCTACACATGAAGGGGGCTGCGACGTCCCGGAGCAGATCCTCAGGTGGTGTGAACTGACAGAGCTCCATCAATCTCATCTAATTTAGAACATATTGCTTAAAAATCTGGCTTGAAAAATGGACTACAAAAGATCTCTTTTGGCTACTTATGTTTGACTTTGCTATTACAAATGTTTGTTATACGTGCATATAAGGTTTACAATAATTTCCTTCGGAGTAACAAAGCTTGCTGCCAGAACGATTTTAAGCACATGCAGTGTTTGCCTGTTGAAATCTCCCTTCTGCAGGGATTGTTTGTGCTGCAGAATGAATCTGATGTAAGCTGTAGCCTTAAAAGTATAATTAGAAATACACAGAACAATCTCCTATTCATGTCATGGTTTAATATGCACCCAGGCAGGCTTAAAAAAATGCAAGAATAACTGAATGGGTCCTCTTTGGTACTGTCTCCTTGGCAAAGAACTTGTAATGATAGACATCCAATTTTTTCTACATCTTGTGGTTACTGTTCAGACTACTGTGCAAGGATCTCCTTGCTTCCAAGAACTACAGAGCAACTGTATTTACTGGAAAAGCATGGAGAAGATCATAGCTTTTGCTAAATTGTCTTTCGCAAAATGGGATGCCGAACGCAGGTATCTCCAATGGCCTTTGTGCTCTGTCTGCACTTACATGGACTGGTGCATTTGGCCACTGGCAGGCAGCAGAGCTTTACCGTCAGGAGAATCAGACTAGGAAATGTAATTTGAATCCAGCTGGACATTTTCTTTTCCCTGTACTTTCAGCTGCCTGTGTTTTGCCTCATCTGTTCCCTGCAAGACTCTACCCCAGTGGACAGTTTTGTTACTTAAAGGAGCACTTTAGCAGTCTTGCTGACTTTATGCACAGCTAAGTAGTTAACACTGGCTCTTGTGCCTAGAGAGATTTAACGTGATGCATTTACTTCCCCAATTCTTGTTGACTTTTATTAGAAAACCTGCCAGTAAAATATGGAGTGCTCAGTGGAAACCAGGAAACATGGAAAGCCATAGAGCTCACCTTCCTGACCCAGTGCGGCATGGTGTGAGTGCTTGGGGAGCGGTGGTGGGTGTTGATGACGATGACTGTGATGATGATTGAAGCGATGACAAACACCATTGTAAACAACATGTATTTGCCTATCAGAGGCACTGCACTGGAGGTGGAGGGAATCAGCTCCACAATGACCAGAAGGAACACAGTCAAAGACAGCAGGACAGAGATGCTGAGAGTCATTTTCTCACCTGCCATGCAAAAAAAACCCAAAACACAAACAAAAAAAACCCCGCAACAAAAACCACCATTGCTGCTCCTATCATTCAGTACAGACTATTCACAGAAGTACATGTGTGTGCATCTGGAGCGCAATCATCTCTCCCAGCATCCAAAGCAGTAACTAGGCGGGCCAAACCTGAGAGCCTAAGAGCATCAGCTCCAGCATTAAAGTGGGAATCACCACCTACGACTGGGCTGAGGTATGGGTGATGGATACAGAAAGCTTACTTGCCAGGAGCACTTCATGGGCTGCGCATTTTGAACGATGAAGTATATGCACCTGATTAATGCTTGCTCCACAGCCTCCTGGGGGTTCGCTTGCCTGCCTTACTCTCTGGCAGGCTCATGCTGGGCTGAGTAGGCAGACAAAAATCACATCTGACACCAGAGGTCAGTTGCTCTTTGAGGTCTTCCAGTATGTAGGATGTCAAAACCGAACCACAAAACGTGATTCACACATCTTTTTTCTGTCAAGTTCAACTTTATAGAAAGTTTTCCACTAAAAAAAAATACCTCAAGTATTTCATAGAAGGGGCTTAATGAAATTAAGCAGTATGAAAAGCTGACACAAGGTAAAATGAATGAAGCAGAGGAAATGGTTGCAGGGAGCAAGAGCTACTCAGCAGGGACAAAGGAGGCCAGAAGCGTCCAGGATTACTCTTTGTGTCACACGAAGTAATTTCTGTGAATGGATAACAAGCTCTTTGCTCTAATACCACACCAAAGGGCCCCACTCACCCCTTGTGTGTTCACTTACTGCATGATGTACTAACACGCTAACTACCTACCTATGGCAAAACATAAAAAACAACTAGCTAGATCTTTGTTTTGCAGAAGTTAACTGGCTAGTTAAGCAGTGACTTCTGTGGGAAATCAGCCCAATTTATTTATATGAATAGTTTCAGCTTTCAGCGCTTACGCTTTATTTGCAGAATGTTTGGAGCCGTTATTCTGATCAGAAACATCCAGTTTTAGTAAGTGCTGCCCTTCAAGTTGGCTGGTGATTTCAAACACTCAGAATATCTCAGAAACTTGTTAGAAGAACAATTTCTATGGCAATAGTATGAATAAATTCACATACCTGAATCTGTGGGTAGGTAAAAAACTAAGCCGGTTAAAAAGGAAAAGAGCAGGCAGGGAATGATGACATTCACGATGAAGTAGAGAGGCAGACGCTGCATGAGGAAGTGGTAGGTGATATCCAGGTAGGGAGTGTCAGGGCAGCAAGCGTAGTAAACCCAGTGCTTCCAGCCACGGTAGTCCTTCATTACCCATTCCCCGCTCTCCATGAAGTTACTCAGATCTGGACGATCACTCTCCTGACAGCAAAAAAACCCAAGTTCTTAATATTAGATGTTCTGAACAAAATCAAAACTTGGCAGTGGCTCAGGAACAGGATCGCCAATAACTCAGACACTTCATGTGTTTTTGTGAGCAAACCACTTTGTGTATGTTATTTTGCCTTAGAGTATCATCCTCTACACAGCATTCAACTAAATATTTTACAGAAACAGTCAAGGATAGTCAACTAAGAGAAAGACTGATTAAATATTTACAGGTAGGAGACGTACCTGAGGGGACAGGGAAAGAGTCCTTGGAAATGGAAAGTCATGAGCAGAGAAAAAGCACCTCCCCCAAAAAAAGGTAAGCAAAAAAACCCAAAAGCAGAACAGGCAGCACCATAAGAAGTGGTGTGAAGCTGTCAGAGGATAGACAGGTAGGAGACTTAGTTAGGGCACGGGAATTATGTGTATGGAGGATTTTAGAAGCCAAAGCAGGAAATTTTGTGCTAGATCTATAAATAGGGCTTTCATATTTTACAGGTAGTGCCTGGTTGTTTTTTCAGTCAAAACAAGGTTATATTCTATTCTAAATCTGAGATTTCCCTAAAAACATATCCACGTCTTTACTGCTTTTCCCAATTGCAAACTCTTTGCTTACCGGGTTAATAACAACCATTGTACCATCGTATGTCCAAGTTCCCAACTTCATACTGCAGTTCTGCTGGTCAAATGGGAAGTGCGTGACTATAATTTCACAGTAACTTTTAAAAATAGCTGGTGGCGTCCAGGTGATCAGGCCTGTGTGCTCCAGAAGGACTTTGGTGTATTTAACGATGGCAAAATCACCATCTGCGCTGCAGAAGGAACAAGGACATTAACAGCAATATGGGCAGCATAATTAACATAGTCACAAAAGGATTTCTCTGGCTGTGGATTGACTGGTCCCCCCAGTGCCATTGTGCCCGCTCCTGGAGAAGCTTGCTCTGACGCGTGCTGCCCACGGGCCCAGATGCCGTGGGACAGCAGCCCTGCCATAGTGGTGCCAGGGGACAGAGCTACCCCTCCCTCCCCAGGCAGCTGGCACCCCTTACTTGTTGTAAAGAACAAGGTCTGGCCGCCAGATATCGTCTGAGGGGATGCGGATTTTTTTCACACCGCCATAGTCGTCTGGATTCCACTTGAGGTTGACGTCTGTCCATTGCTAAAGAGGGAGGATTTCAGCCACTGAGAGCCTCTTCCAGCACTTCTGGGGGTAGTTTTGGTACTTCCTAGAAACATGCACCTCCCTGGCTTTGGGACTTGCAGGTAAGCATAAACACGCTAGTGGGACCCCCAGCTAATTTTTTACATTAACTTAAATTTTGGTTTAAGAAGCTCATTAAAAAAAAAAAAAGAAAATAATATAAAAGCTAAATATACCAGAAGTGTACTGTTTGAAATACAACACAAAATGCTTTTCTTAAAGCTCTTAGTGTCTAGCACATTCTGTTCTTGAGACCCCAGTAAGAAGAAATGCTCTGCTAACTGACCCACCTGTCCAAGTTGCCCCTAAAAGTATAACAGAGTAGTTAATTCCTGGCTGTGCCTCACGCATTTATTTGAATTGGATGAAATGGTTAGCAATATTTAGAGTTACCTGTTTCAGGCGTACATTGGTTGTCACAATCTGATTTACTTCATCCTTAAAAAAAAGAAAGAAAAGAAGGCAGTAGCAGCAAACATCAGGATTAAAGGAGAAAAATTGTTTCCTTAGGAAAACGACACCGGTCAGCACTATCACGTAAGCCAGTGGTTCAACATGTACCACACGTTTATACCATACCACGCTAATAAGCTGAATGAGCTGCAGCCCGACGGTGACGACAACGGCGTCCCGATGGTCCTCCACGGGGCGCACCACCTTGTTGTAGTCCCTGAACAAGTCCTCAACGAGGCGAGTCTCGTGTTCATAGCACAGGGCCAGGCCAGCTGCAGAACAGCAGGGGTTGCGTCAGTGAGATGGGACAGGGAACAGGCTACAGCGCCATCAGTCTGAGGTGGGCACGAGGGAAGTACTGTCAACAGCAAGCCACTGGCGATGGGTTAACTCCAAGACCTCTGTGTGACTCCTCATTTCAGGTGTGCATTATGTGCATTGCAAATACTGTCAGCAGGGGTAACTACCTATCTGATCTGGAGGTCGGTTTAGGAGTAAGGCAACAACAGCCTCCAACCAGGAGATGAGTGAAAACGAATAGCCATCCATGACTGTGGACATCAGACTGAGCATTAGGAATCTCCTCCAGGCTCTCCCAACCCACAACTGTGCTTACATGCAATACTTGTGGACAGTTAAGCACACAGAATACCCATAATCAGGGATTCCTGATGTTGTCTTCTCCACCTTCAATTCCACGGACTTGCCTGTAAGAGTAATGTTAAAGGACAGGGCCAAGCACAACAGTCATTGAGGTGAAAGCCTCATCCAGACTCCTTGCATCTGAAGTCTAAGCAGAGCAGGAGCTCCTCTCCACGATGGCAGTCGCTCACGTTGTGTTCGTGGTGAGAGAGCAGGAAACCATTCACAATGCGGTCTCATATCTCCCTGTCCTCAGGGAAGGTCTCAACCTGTCCTTGGAGAGATCTGCCCACAGAGTGCTCAGCATGACTCGGCAGCGCTACATGAAAGAGCCCTCGTAAGAAGGGCATCATGAGTGAAAATAGGTAACAGCTTTGTTCTAGCGCAGCTTTAGCAGTGCGTGTGCGTGGCATTGTACTCCCAAGGGGTGAGGGCTCAGATTCCCACCTCACAGAAAAACGGACGAACACCATTTCCAGGCTGCCTGTTGCAGAACAAGCAGCCGCATCACATACCCAGACTGTAGCTGCTTCACTGTTACCGGGGAGTAAAGGAAAGGGAAATGGGGGCTTGGGGATGTTTTTGTATGTACCCCCTTTTAAAGGTAGTGAGAGGGAACAGAACAGCTGAGCCTCGCCACAAGCATTTTTGGCAGATCCCATCCTTGCCTTCCCGTCTCTCAGTTTGAATCCTGGGCCATTGCAGTCAACAAGAATTTTGCTGACTCCAACCTAAGCCAGGATTTCCCCTTGTTTCCTCACTGACTTTTCATCAGCTCCTTTTATACAGTTGAGCTGAGATTCCAAGGATTCTGTCTCAGCCTTGTCCTGCCATGAGATGATATTAAAATACTTGGATGCCATTGAGAAAAGCTGTCAGCCGCAGCCAAGCACTGCTTGCTTACCCTGCCAGGAGGCTGGGCTGGGGTGGGCAGGAGTCGTCTTTCAATTTTTAGATATGATGCTGTGATCATAACTTAAGTCAATATCTTTGCTATGCTTTATTAATCCAATTAAAATCCTTCCCATTGCTACCTTCTAGTGTGGCTTGGTAGGAATTTAGTATGCTGTTTGAATTTGGTGAAAAGTTTTTAGGATCACAAAATACGTATTCTTTTAAGGGACAGTTTAAAAGGAATTATCCTGATACAACACATGCAGCTGCAAATCAATTCTGCTTCCTTGTCAGCAGTGCCACAACTTAATGAAGGTTCTTGTGATGAATTTTTACATTTCAAGCCACGTTTAGTAGATCCTTTCATACATTTTGAAATACACGTAGCACTAGAGTGAACGGGAACATGGCAAAAGATGCCAGAGAGAAAAATAGTTAAGCACAAAAACTTCTCACTTCAAAATATCTGGTGTCTGAAATTACAAATTTCTGAGCTGTTACAAATACACTCCAAAGCTCTCATTGAACAGATCTGGTGTGTTCATAAAACCTTATCAGCAGGACAGACTGCTCCCAGAACACACATTTGCTCATACCAATGTATATGCAAAGCCCTGGTCCTGCACAGTCAGGAAGGAGCTGACCCCCATTCAAGGCAATGGCTGGAACATGTTTACCTGCGGAGATGAGGAGGAGTACACGATGCACCTTCATCATCCCAGCTCCCTCTTGCTGCAGTCATACGGACGGAGGCACACACGAGGCGCCTTTAAGGTCTCTTCAGAGGAGGGCTGTGCTGCCTCCTGCCAGGGTGCTGGTGAAATATAACCACCGAGGTATTGATTTACAGCACCTGTTTTTAGGAATGACAGCTGAGGGCCACTGCACTGCTGGGTTGGAAATGGGAGCATAGTGTGTTTCACCAGTCAAGTATCTTCTGCAGTTTACAGAAGGTAATTTTTTTCTAAGTGGCAATGTGATCTGTGACTTAATAAACAAATAAATATATAAATAAAGATAAGAAAGAATTATCTGTAGAGTAACTGAACATCTCGGTGAGATCTCGGAAACTTCCTGAGCTGGAGAACCAAAGCTGTGCATCACCCTTTGTGACCAGAGCAACTTGCCAGATTTGGGATTTTGTTTCCCCAAGGGAAAACAGATTGCAGTCATTTATTTCTGATACACCCTCACCAGAGTACAGACTGCACACTGGGATGAGGCTGCCCCCTTTGCTTCACAGATGGATGAGAATTCTTTGAAGAAATGAACAAATTTGTTCAAGAGAGATCAATCTCCTTGAATCTACAGGGATTTTTAGAAGGTATTCAGTAGAGTCGCCCCCTTGAAAGCAGTTAACTAACCTAAGCATCCTGAAGTAAGAGGGAAAAATCCTCCCATAGATACCTCTGTAGACTTACTGAACTGTGAAAGGTGAAAGGTAGGAATATGATTGGTTTCTATAGCAGGGCAGATCCAGTGGATTCCTGCAGGGCATGCTAGTGTTTGCTCATTATTGTCATAACTCACCTGGAAAAGGGGTGAAAAGTGAGGTGTTTGGTAATAATAATCAGTTATTCAGGCTAGCAAAGAAAATGACCAACTGTGAAGAATTTTTATATATATATATATCTCTCCCTCTATATATATATATATCTATCTCATATATATACGATGACCTCCTCTGAGCTCACCAATACAGCTCAGGAACAAAATCTTGAAATAGATAGTTCTGTGAAGTGCTCAGCAGCATGAGAAAAGCCAGTCCATCAGTTCCTAGGACAGGAGATGAAGAAAACTGGAAAGATGCAACTATAAATCCATGGTGTCCTGAGTGCTCTTTGCAGCTCTGGTCCTCTGGTTTCAAAAGGAGACTTGGAAAAGGCCCAGGAGAAAGTGACAATGACATCCACGGTACAAACTGGCTTCCGTACCTGGAACAGATAGGCAGTATGAACCTTCAGCCCGGAAGAGAAGCCAGGAAGAGAAAGAGCTTTGATGGGGTCTGTAGAATCCCAAATGGTCTGGAGAAGGCAGATTTGGATTCGGTCACTGTCCCAGTGCAAAAAAGTGAGGGCATTGAGGGAAACTTGGAGTTGGCAGGCTTAATCAAGATGCTCCTTCACACAGTGTGACTGCAGCGGAACGCGGTGCCACAGGAGTGTCTGGTTGCCAGAAGTTCATGTGCATTCCAAAAAATCAGTTTGATAAATTAATTTCATACTATTAAATAAAACAAAGAAGTCTGTCACAGAAGTCCCAGAGTCACAAGTCACAGGAGGCTGGGGCAGTGTCCTGGGGAAATATTGCCTAATACTTAAGCTGTTCTTGCACTTTTCCCTAGGCACCTGCTGTTTGGAAACAGGACATTGCACTAGGTGACCTGCCACAATCATTCTTACACACTGCTCCAAATGTCTTTTTCCAGAAAACATTGCCCACAAAAACCTTTCTTAGCTCTGCCTCTGGGTGACACCAGACGTACTTTCTATTTCTTATGGCTATCCTTTGTGCTGTCTGCCAGCTGGTTTGGTCTTTCATGCTGGATGCCTTTATTATTATTTTAATTAATTTATTTTTTTTTAATCACTCCCCCTCACCAACTTAGCATTCAACCTCCGCATTCCCATTTATCCTCCAGTAAAAGCTCTCCATCTACATAACTCTGGCCTTGTCCCTGGGCTGTGCCTTGGCCAGCAGCTCCCCTTGTTGCAGCTATCTTATTTCAAACAAGCGGCTGGCTGCTTCCAACCTTTATCCCGGGGCCGGGCAGCTGCCGTGCCCAGTGGAGATACAATTGCACGGAGGCACTGCAGGAATGCTGACGATGCCCCTCCTGATCCTCCCGGGGTCTCTCAAAGCATTCCTGCCCACCCAAGGCAGGGCTGGCAGGTTTGCTCCAAAACAGATGTAGGAGAGCATTACCACAGTCTTTGGCAAATTGTAGCTCTCGGGTAACATAAATTTCTGTCCCATCCTCCCCGCCAAAAAAAAAAGGTCTGGCTGCTTGGAGTCGGCAGGATGCAGAACCTGTAGGAGGCCCACAAAGTCTGCAGCTTCAGCAATGGATTATTTCTCTTGCAGCTGAGCTGACCCGAGAACAGCCCCCCAACCTGGGAGCCAGCTACTCCTCTCTGGCTGGAAGTCAGAGCTCGCGCTGGAAAAGGCAGGAGCAGGTATTTGGAGAAGGCCTTTGGGGAGCGACAGCCTGGCTGCAAGGCATGTTCACTGGCAGAGACACAAGACTATTTCCCTCCCCCAAAAATCAAGGCAACCTGAGCTTCTGCAGTTAAATACGGACAGAGAAGTGAATGCTCCCTGTTGTTGTTGGGGGAATGTGACCTGTCATGACTGAGGTGAAAAAGCAAGGGGAGGGGATGAACTATATCGAGTGCCTGAAATTGATCCTTTGCTGTGAAGGTTGGGTTGTTTGTTTGTTTTTTTTTCCTTCAGAGCATGGAGAGTTTTTTTGACAGCTGTTTTGTTCCCCTTTTCATGTCTACCTCAACTCCAAGCTTTCTGGCTTGTTTTGTGAGCCCCCACCCCGACCTCAGCCAAACGCACTTTCCACCATGCTAATGGCAGACCAGTCTCATTCCTATCAATTGGAAAGAAGCAGAACTCGCTGCTTGCTGAATTTAGGGCATAGCTCCTTTCATTCATGTACCAGGAGCAAGTGCTGCCAGGGCTTGTGCCCGCTCCAGCCTGAAGTCAGCCAGCCACGAACAAGTGCTACTGCAGGTAAGTCTCTTTGGCAGGGCGATATCATACGGCCACGTTACAAGTGAGCAGAATCCCTAATGCTTTTGGAAGAGCGAGGAATACAAGATTTTCACTGAAATCTTTGTCGCAGAATTGCGTGCATAAATGCAACGCCCAACTAGAAAAAGCAGACACAGGAGGCCCCAACGGCTGCAGGGCCAGCAGGGCCAGCATGGGAGAAGCAGAAGTGAAATTAATAAAAAGAATAGAGAAAACGGTAGGTATTACATGAGGGAGATCAAGGGCACAAAAGCTGAAAAATAATAGCAGCGTTCATTTGGGGGTTTTTAGCTTCCAAATGCAGTATATGCATTTTTAAATGCATTTTAGTATCAGAAAAATGGCATTGTGGGTGACAGTGGATCATGGCAGCACTGGATAAGAGAAGGCAGATGGTTAGATAAGCAATTTGTGAATTTGCCATGTGTTTGTTACCAGATTGCCCCGAGTTATAGACAGTATGGCACACATTTCCCGCTGGAAGCCATCTCACAGAAGGCTGGCGGCTCAACACGATTGCCACCAGATGGCAACAGATGGCTAAAAAAGATGCAGTGGGCACACGCCGGGCATTTGCGAGAGAACGATCGCAAACAATCCTTTGCAAGAGCAAAACAGAGGGAGTAAATATTTCCTAGAAGAAATGCATTCAAGGAATTAACGGCAGTCTTGAGATGCTAATGGCCTGTACCTCCCCTGTTTACTCCACCGCGCAGAAGAACAAGCTAAGCATTAATATACACATTAGTACGTATTGACAGAGAGGATTTAATTCCACAAATCAAGAAATTCAAAGTTGCAGTTTTCCATACCGAAACACACCTCAGCCATCCTGCAAATATATTTTATCCCCATGAGTGTTTGTAGCAAATTTGTTTTCAGCATATCTTTTCTTTGTTTTCTATTACACAGGCCAAAGGAATTAAAAATACCAAAAACTTACTCAAAAGTGGTGATCTTAACCTCTGCAGTTACAGAGCTTACATATTATAGCATAGACATGGTGCACATTTATCTAATCAGAAGGATGCTTCTGAAAAAAAGGACTTGAGTCTGGAAAGAAAGAGAACAAGGAAAAGGTCCACAGTCAAGCAGAGAAACCACAATCACAAAATACATAGTTAGATCAGTGGCACAAGGGTTGACCTAGTGCAGGTGAGGAGAAACACTGCTCCCCTTTAAACAGGCATCAACCCTCACGGTCACAGTGCTCAGACAAAAATGACACTGGCAACGGAGGCTCATGTACCCAGCGTGAGCAATGCAGGTGCAGCAGTGAGAATGCAGACCAGCAGTAACTGAAAGCACAGTCAGGTGAGATGACAGGCACAAGCTGACCAGCCACGAAGTGTCAGAGGAATCTGCAAGAAGGTTGCGGCTTTGCATTGCCTTTCTGTTATGGAAACTCCAGGAAACCAGTCCTGGAGCTGAATAAAGTTGCTGAATAAAGCACTGGTAAATTCAACTCCAGCTATCACCCCTGACAAGGTTGCTTCTGTGGCTCCTGTCTGAGTACTGGTGCTTATCTTTGGGCCCTAGGTGAGTCATGCTGGAGAGCCAAACAAGACAACGAAAGAGGACAAGTCCATTAGATGGGACGTTTGCTCTGTCCTGCTCCCGCGGGCCACTCTGTCAGCACAGCAGCTTGCCTGAGCTGTGCTAGAGTGGTGAGGACTGCAAATAACAGCTTTGCTGGTCCATTCTCTCATGAAGACCTTCCTGCACAGCAGGGCTCCTCAGATACTCTGCTTCTGTGGTCAGGAAAATCTCATTCATACTTGGATGCAGCTAGGTCACACCTGTATTTATTAAAAACTCTGCCCTTTCCCAGCAGCACAAGTCACTGGCTGGAAAATGCACTCAGCCTGGTGCAGACCACTACTACTGCCGGTTCTGAACTTCATCTGCAAACATCAGGCATGATTTTTCTCTCTGCCAATGCAGAAAATCTCCAC